GTCCACCTTCCCTGCACCCCACAGTGCCCCCTATCCATCAGTCCACCTTCCCCGCTCCCCCCAGTGTCCCATCCATCTCTCTGTGCACCTTCCCTGCACCCCACAGTGCCCCCATCCATCAGTCCACCTTCCCTGCTCCCCCCAGTGCCCCATCCATCTGTCTGTCCACCTTCCCTGCTCCCCCCAGTGTCCCCATCCATCTGTCTGTCCACCTTCCCTGCTCCCCCCAGTGCCCCATCCATCTGTCTGTCCACCTTCCTCCCCCCCAGTGCCCTCGTCATCTGTCTGTCCACCTTCCCTGCTCTCCCCAGTGCCCCTGTCCATCTGTCCATCTACCTTCCTTGCACTCTCCCAGTGCCCCCGTCCATCTGTCTGTCCACCTTCCCTGCATTCCCCCAGTGCCCCCGTCCGTCCATCTGTCTGTCCACCTTCCTTGCATTCCCCCAGTGCCCCCGTCCATCTGTCTGTCCACCTTCCCTGCTATCTTGCTCAGAATCTTGTGGCCTAGGAGCATTTCCCACAGGTTCCATGGGTCTCGGTTTGAGAAAACCGTGCTAGCAGTCAAGCGGCATCACTCTAGAGCCTACCTTGCTCCCTACACACTGAAATTGGGATCTGATTTATAAGAAAAGAAGTATGAAGTAGATGGCAGGAGTGGAGACTGGGCAGTTTCTCTGGCTTTTCATCTCACTGGCCCGGCTCCAAGAGTCTTTCTTGTACCCTAAAGGGCTCTCCTGCTTGACTTCTTAAAAATCGGTACCTGTGGTTCAGTGGGTAGGGCGCTGGCCCAATATACCGAGGGTGGCAGGTTCAAACTTGGCCCTGTTCAAACTGCAACAAAAAAGCCGGGCGTTGTGGCGGGCACATATAGTCCCAGCTACTTGGGAGGCTGAGGCAGGAGAATTGCCTAAGCCCAGGAGTTTGAGGTTGCTGTGAAGTGTGATGCCACAGAACTTTACCAAGGGTGATAAAATGAGACTCTGTCTCTAAAAAAAAAAATCTAAGCAACTAAAGTTGCCCTCAAAAGGCATGGGTGGTGAACAGCACATCGTAGTTAAAGATCCTTAGAACTTTAATTCCTCAAACCACCTGGATGCAGGAAAGGCAGGCTGGGAAGAGCCCACTTTCCTCTTCCTGCCCATGTTCCTGGCTCTGCTACACATTCCCTGTGTGATCTCAAAGGCATTTGCCTGAGTTTTCACAAGAAAGCACACTCAGTCAGGTACCTTTAACAACGCGGGATGGGCGGAGTCGACGACGTCCTGGATGGTCCTCACCACCTCCTCCGGAGGCAGCGTTGAGAAGTCCACCAGCAGGTTCTCCTCCTTCTCCTTCGCTGGAGGTCTTGGCTTGCTGTTCTCCAGCGCTCTCCAGAAGTCAGGGTAACTGACAGAATTATTGGGCCAGCCGATTCCCCAACTTGTCCCCAAAGAAAGAGAAGAAAATATTAAAGCCCACCCTACCACTTATTCACTCAACAAACAGTTGCTGAACACAAAACAATGTGGGGAAAATGGGAAATTCTGAGACACTGTTCCCTGCCCACAGGTGTGTACGTGCCAGTTATCCCTGCTAATGGCACACACATCCCAACGCTGCCACGTAAGTAAACAAGAGAAGGGCCGTGTGAGGTGAGAGCTGCCTGAGTGACAGCTGCCCTGCCCTGCACTACGGGGTTCATGGGTTTATGGAGCAGAAGATGGTAAGGGGGGCGCCGGTTAAAGAACCTGGTCCTAGGACCAAGGGAGATGAAAGTGTTTGGACAGGGATGCGAGATATCCAGGGCAGAGAGAGGGGACAGAAATTGACAGTGTTTCGGACAGTCCACAAGTAGCCTGTGGACTGGTGGACAGTGAGGCCCAAAGGCTGGATGGGAGGCCCCTGTGGGCATCCAGGCATGAGCTGTGACAGCTGGACTTAGAAGTAGCAGTAGAACTTGCAAAGAAGAGAAATAAGCCAAAAACAGAGAAGAGGAACTGAGTAAAATACATGTCAAGTTCTTTTTCAAGAATGGTTCAAATGAACTGTCCAGCCAAAAATACTCAAAAGATATTTTGCAAACCTATCCTGCTTAGTGTTTTCTCAAATACAGATTCCACCTGCAAATGTTATCTCCATAAGCACATCCCATAGAAATAGAGGTTCTCGACTCCCACACAGAAGAAATTACTTCTAAATTCTTAAAGGCTAGATGGTGAGATAAAATCAAAAGGTTTTATAGAACATAGATCACATCTGTTAAAGACACAGAATAGTTCAAATTAAAGTTTAGCTGCACATGAAGTTCACATGTCTATAATTTCAGTTCTCTGGGAATTCCAGGCTCTTGCACATCTAAACTTTCTCTCAGCGGATGGGGTGTGAGTGTCCAAGTGGAACAGCTTGGAAGGTTGGTACGCGGGGGAGAGAAGTTCCCAGTGATTCGGATATTTGCTTCTAAAGAAGATAAGCCAAGAGCTGAGCTTTTCCAACCCACAGCTGCAGAGCAGCCTCGCACAGGCCCTGCGTCGGCCTGGCTTGGATGATGGAAGCATGAAGGAAAAGGACAATGAACACTGTTTCCTCAGCAGGGGAAATTGCCAGTGTGGTATTAAGATGTAGTAATAAACCAAGTGCATATGCTAATCTCCTCAGTGGTATTTAGAAAAGTCTATTTTGGATCTAGAAAAGAATAATCTACATATAATTACAAATAACAGGGATGCTTATCATCAAGGGGTCTTTGAGAAGAAATAAGCAACCGAGAGATGGTTCCTTATTAAGGTTTCAATGCACAAGAAAGTTGATCACCCCATTGAAAGGTGGGCTACAGAAATTCCACAGCCCTTTTGTTGTTGTTTATAAAAGTATCAAGCCTAACTATGTTTTCATAAGACTCTCTTATCATCATTTAGTTAATTATTTATCTTCAGCTATTTTTCCATGATTTATTCATTGAATGCATATGAATTCTTGTTCAGCTGGCAATAGATTCAGTGAGAAGGGATCCTGTTTAAGGAAGAAAAAACTGTATGGGCACTTGAAGATGAAATGGCCCCCCTTTCTCTACACACACACACACACACACACGTGTGCACACATGCACTAGACTTCTCACAGCTCAAACACAATGAAGCACTGTCTTTATATTTTAAGGGAAAATGATTTTCTCTCTTAGGATTATTTGCTTTGGCAAACCGTGTAAAGGAGAATTTTAAAAATTTAAGATCAGTAAGAACTCAGAAAATTTATTTTCTGTTCATCCCTTCTTAGGAAATTACCTCAGGAGGTACTCCAGGAAAAGAAGAATGTAAAGCAAGAAATAAAGAGACACGGGATGTAGCAAAAGGGGTCCAACCCAGGAGAATAGTAGAGGCATCCAGGATGCTCTGGGGGCTGAGCTCTGGGATGGAGATACCAGGGGAAAACATTAAGAAAACAGAAAATGGGATAAAATGTTGGGGAAACCAGCAGATCAACAATGTTGAGTTTTACCTGAGCACTGATCTTCTAGAAAATAGTGATGGTTAAATTATCCCACCCTTTATGTTCTTGGAAGTGGCTACCATAAAGGACCATCTTTTCTGTGCATGACTTAGAAAAGCCTCAAGGAAGCTCCTAGATTTACCTCTGACAACTCACACAAAGATCTTCCAATTCCCATCTCCCATTCTCATTAATGATTAATGAGACATTTGCACCCACTGACCAATCCGACCAAAATGCCTGCTAACCTGACAAAATTTAATTAAGGTGCTCTCCTTTCCCCAGGCCCCTGAACTTGGGCCCACCTCAGCGTGAGCCAGCATGGGAATGGAGAGCAGCCCCTCCTTACTGGTGCCTCCTGAGACTGCCCATGAGGAAAGACAGTCTGCTCACACTGTCCACTCACCTCATCGTCCACATTAGGCACTTTCTAGCTTGCTTTACTCTTCCCTCTTAAAGGAAGGCCTTTTCTCCTTGACCTTGGAGATTACTGTACCATTTTTGTAGCATTTTTCCTATTGCGAGAATCCTCCTCTCCCTATTATAATGTTTCAGTAATCTTTTCAAATAAAGTTTATTGTACCTACGTATGAACTTGTTTTTATTTGACAAGGTAAAATAAAGGGAAGTAATGCAAGAAAAAGAGTATACTAAGAATGCAGGAGACAAATAACCTGTCTAACATACTTGTAGTATAAATATGAAGCAAATCGAACATTGCCGTGGTCTGAGCGTTTGTGTCCCCTCAGCATTCATCTGTTAGCCCCAAGGTGATGGTGTTAGGAGGTGGGGCCTGTGGGAGGTGATTAAGTCATAGGGTAGAAATCTCGTGGATGGGACTAGTGCCCTTATCCAAGAGGTCCCAGATAAACCCTCACCCCCTCTGCCAGGTGAGGTTACTTTGACAAGATGGACGTCTGTGAGCCAGGAAGTGGCCTCTACCACATGCGGAATCTGATGTTGCCCTGATATCAGACTTCTCATCCTCCAGAGCTGTAGGAAATAAACTGCTGCTGTTTATAAGTCCCAGTTTATGGTATTTTGTCAAAGCAGCCTGAATGGACTGAGATAAATGTGGTGTGATTTTCAGCAACCGATAAAATCTATAAAAGAGAATCTATTTGGCATTAAGGCCAGAGGCTCAGAGATAGTAAAGAAAAAAAAAAAGCTAATTTCCAGTCATTACTTGTTGACATGGAACAGTACATACATAGTTCTAATAATGAAATGGTATTTAATGACTTCTAAGTTTTAGAAGCAACCTATGAACCAAGTAGGAAGGACCTGATCAAATTTAAGCACCATTTTAAAGTACAAATCAAAGTGTAGCTGACAAACGATGGGACGGGGAAGGAAGAGGAAGAGACGGAAGGAGGGGGCAGCTCTGAACACGTGCAGAGCTCAGAGGCATTGCTCTTGTCCTTACAACAAGAAAAAAGCTAAATATTTTCTTTTTCAGGGCAGTGCCTGTGGCTCAAAAGGGTAGGGCACCTGTCCCATATGCTAGAGGTGGCAGGTTCAAACCCAGCCCCAGCCATAAACTGAAAAAAAAAAAAAAAAAAAAAGGGAAAAGTCCTGTAATAGAGTTTTTATACACTAAAAAGGAAAAAAAAAAAAAAAAGAGAGAGAGAGAAAGAAATAAACTAAATAACAGTGGCTTTTTCTTTTCTTTTCTTTTTTTTGTCTCATCAGAGAATTGCGGTCACAGGGCAAAAAGTCACCCTGAAACCTGGGGAGACAGGCATATCCAAGAGAGACACAGCTGGGATCTGTTTTCTCAGAGCAAAGCCCTGGAGCCACAGGCTGATGGGAGCACCCCCCACACCAGCCCTGACAAGTCAGTGGACAAGCCAGGGGGAGAGCAGGAAGCTCCAGGGGCCCAGTCTTAGCCACCCGCACACACTTCTACCAGTTTTACCATTGGCAGTCCTACCAGCTCCTTACAGTGAAGGTATGGGGAGGGTTAGATCAGCCCTTGGGAAGTAGGTCCAGGGCCTTCTCCATGATGACTTTCAAAGGAAAAGACTTTACCAGTGCCTATTTCAGCTGTGGGGGAAGGGCAGTCAGCCAACTCCAGCCCCCTCTAGTCTTCCTGTCTTATCTAAGGGAGGGGAAAAAGCTAATAAACATTTCTATAGTTTGCAGCCTGGGGACTCAGCCCACTAATACACTGAGATTTAATCATAAGACTATAGAATGTTTCCCGTCTCAATACCTTACCACCACTTCAACCCAGCTCCCAAGTAATAATATTGGGTCACAACTGAAAGAGCCACAAACACAGACTCTATTTAAGAAGGAGTTCCTAGGGAAACTCAAGAAAACAGGAGAGGGAAAAACAAGGACACTGGTGGAAACTGAAGCCTTTGGCACTGACAACTACAGTAAACACTAGCCACAGCCCGACTCCTAGCCAAATTAACATAAAATCTCACACCAAAGGCCTGTTTATCTCAGTTCCTGTCTGGTCTTCTAAAATAACAATAAACAACTGCAATGCATATAAAAAGGCAAGAAATGACATAGTTTGAAGAGATCAAGCAAGCATCAGAGGCAGACTTGAACAGGACACAGATTTTGAAATGATTGGATAGGGAATTTAAAATAACTATGGTTAATATGCAAAGTACTCTAATGGGAAAAAACAGACACCATGTGAGAACAAGTGGCAACGTAAGCAGAGAGATGGAACATTAGGAAGGAATCAAAGGGAAGTGCCAGAAATCAAAAAACACTGTGACAGAAATGAAGATGGACTCTGCAGGGCTCATCAGGAGACGGGACGTGGCTGAGGAGGAATCAGTAAGCATGACGCCTGTCAGCAGACATCTTTCAAACGGAAATGCAACAAGAAAAAGAAATGGGGGAAAATAGGGCAGAACATCCAAGAACTGTGGGGCAACTTCAAAATGAGTAAATCTGCATAACTGGAATACCAGAAGGAGAAAAATAAAGGAGTAGAAGAAATATTTAAAGTAATAATGGCTGAGATGCTTCTAAAATTAATGGTAGACACCAACTCACAGGAAGCTCACAGAACACCAAGCCGGATGAATACCAAAAACCTGACACCTGTGAAAATCATATGCAAACTGGAGAAAAAAGCTAAAGACAATGAGCAAATCTTGAAAGAAGCCAGAAAAATCTTTGGGGGGGAGGAATCGCACCTTTAAAGGAACAGAAATAAGAATTACATTCGACTTCTTGCCAGAAATTACGCAAGCAAGCAGGGAATGGACTGAAATACTTAAAGCGTTGAAAGAATAAGCCCCACTAGCCCAAAATGCTCCATCCAGTGAAATCATCCTTCACAAATGAAGGGAAACAAAGACTCTCAGACAAACAAAAACTGAGAGATTTTATCACCAGCAGCCCTGCCCTTCAAGAAATGCAAAAAGTCATTGTTCAGAGAGAAGGGGAAGCATACAGATCAAAATATGCTCTGGGTAGCACGGAAGGAATAAATAAAGGCAAAAGAACATCTCATATTCTTACTCTTAGTTGGTCAAAGTGGTAACAACAACTTAATGGATGATCATAGGCATGGAGAGGTGAGGGGCAGTCACGTTATTAGGCCCAGGTAAGTTCCCGTGTGTCCCGTGACGTTATGTCGTGTTATCTGGGAGTGGGTTGAGGTTAGCTGTCAATGGGCATATTGCAAACTCTCTAGAGCAAGCACAGAAAATTGTTTCAAAAGGTGTGGAAGGGATGCTAGTACCCTCCCCCTACAAAGTGGGGGACATAAGACCCGCACATTCAGACAGCACAGCTAAATTACATGCAAGACAGCAATGCGTATGAAGGAGTCAGAGCAGGCAATTAACTCTCAGTTATTTCAGTGTAAAAGTACACGAGGAGAAGACGTGCAGTTAAAAAAAGTGGCTTGAGCACACATATCTAGTTCTGTCCCCATTCAACCTTTCCAAAATGACAGAAAAAGGGAGTTTTAAAAAGGCACATGGCAGTGGTTCTCAAACTGGGGTGGTCCAGCCCAGCAGCATCTGCGTCACTTAACCCATGTCGGAGATGCTAATTCTTAAGATATTCTAGCCCAGAAACTTTGGGGGAGGGGGCCCACAAACTGAGTTTTAACCCCTTTGCCCGGGGATTCTGATGCTTGCTGGCATCTAAAGACCACTGGGCATGACCCCTACAGACTACGAGAACAGGGGAGAGGCGGCAGGTGTGAAGACCCTGCAGATGGACGGGAGTGAATGTGCAGAATCCAAGAAATCACCTCCTAATGCTGACAGAGGGCACGTGGGGAAGAGGGAACCACAACTCGCCAACCCTGGGAACACCCTCGGAGCCTCGGGGACTGGTGGGACCAGCTCCATCTAAACTTGGGGATAAAGGCGTGGTTAAAAATACAAGGACTGGTTAAAGTCTGTGTGGGAAGCAATGAGACCCCAGACCCCTGTCCAGACTCCATGTGGCTGGGTGCCTGTCCCTCCCCACCAGGGGAGGATCTAGAGTTTCAGTCTCTGGAGATGGTGTTTCTGAATGGGAGGGAGGGTTAGTGAAAAGAGGAGGATTAAGTGAAAGTTTCTACACTGACTCTGTAACAAAATGTCATATACCTGGTGGCTTAAAACAACACACAGTTGTTCTCTTACAGTTCTGGACACCAGGAGTCTAAAAGCAGCATCCTTGGTGCTGGCACAGCTGTGCTCCCTCCAGAGCGGCCAGGGCACAGCTGTACTCTGCCCCCTGCAGCTTCTGGTGTCTGTTGGCAATCCTTGGTTTATGGCTTTGTCATTCCACCTCCCTGGTCACATGGACTTACTTCTTCCTGTGTAAACTCTCCAGCTACCTGCCTTATTTATTATTTATATACTTATTAACTTATTTATTTTTGTACAGACAGGGTCTTGCTCTGTCACCCATGCTTGAGTGCAGTGCTACAATAGTAACTTATCGTAACCTCAAACTCCTGGGCTTACCTGATCCCCCACCCACCCACCTGAGTAGCTAGTACCTGCCTCTTACGGTGGCATTTAAGGGCTCATCTGGTCAGTACAGTATAGTCTCCCCAAGATCCTTAGCTTAATCACATCTGTAAATATCTTTTTTCCAAAGAAAGAAATGTCCACAGGTCCCAGGAAACTTGCACATCTTTAGAGGGCATTATTCAGCTTATCACACTGACCGGTAAAACTTCCAGCCTTCTCTCCCCAGTCAACTCCTGGAGTGTTGGCAGGAAAAGACTAAAAACCCTTCTCTTCTTGGGGTGCCACCAATCAGCCCACAAACCACACCTAGAGGGATACCCAGTTAGATTCGAATTTCGGATAAAAGTAGTTTTTAGTATACCACAAATATTTTATGAGACATACTTATATTTACAAATTATTGCTTACTTATAATTCGAATTTAACTTGGCATCCTATATTTTATCTGGCAACTCTATTCTCCGGTAAATCTGACCGGGCCAACAGAAAAGTTTTAAAGACACTGACTCTGGTGGCCCCTACGTGCCAGATTACCCTACAATTCAGACCAAAGCAAAGGCACTCTACCTATCTGAGCAAAACTTCTATTCTGCATCTTAGTACCCCTTACTATTAAGATAAGAATATTTGGGGGGGGGGAAGTATCAAACACAAAACACAGGCTTAAAAAGCAAAACTGCCAAAAGGGTTCTCAGGTAAAGAAAACTTTTGTTAAAGGTCTGTTGTCAATATCTTCACATAGTGAATCCATGAAAAAAAAAAACCACCAAGAAGCTATGAAAAAGGAACACTCAAAGAACAGAGGTGAGCACTGGTAATCAGAAATATGAGTGTGACAGCAGAAACAAAGATCCCCAAAGAGGGCTTGGGAGCTAAAATTGAAGAAATTTATCAGAAGGTGCAACAAGAAGGAAAAGAGATAAAAAATAGAAGAGAAAGATTAAAAACATATGTAAGAGAACAATCTAGGCAGTTAAAAAGTCAGCAAGAATAGGAGTTTCAGAAAGAATAGGAGAGGAATCCATTAAGAAAATAAATTAAGAAAATTTCCGAGAATTAAAGAATATACAGAGGGTTGTTGTCCTCAGAAGAGGAAGCTGACAGATCGGCTGACGGACGCGTGTCTGAACACACTGGAAAGAGATTCCACCATTAGGGGCGAGTTGGTGATTTAATTAGTGAAAATGAGTACGAAGGAAACTAAATGAACAACAGAGAAAAATAAGATAATTTAACTTCAGGGGAAAAGTGCTGGGTAGAAAAGAAAAGTGATCAACTCGTCTTGCCAATGGAGATGCTGAAAGGGGTTCTAACCCAAAATGTGGCCCAGCAGTGAGGCGGGTGTGTGGAGTTAAGTTTGGGGTTGTTCCCATGGGGGGGTGGCATGTGATGAGTGGAAAACGATTAAACCCACGTATTCCTGGTAGGATGTCAACAGATACCACCTAAAAGTGACAAATCAACAAGGAGTAATGGATGCTTGTCACTTAGAAAGAGGGACATTCAAGCCCAAGCTGTGAAAGCTGCTGATGGGCGGGAGGGGAATGAGGGCCAAGCGGGGCCCACTAGGCTGCTCTTTTCAATAATAAGCCTTGTAGAACCATTTCGCTCCTATCTAAGCACCTGAATAACTTGGATAAAATAAAAACAAGTTTAAAAATGCTGCTGCTACCACTGAGACATGTCCGGAAGCTGGGCACCTGTTGAATTACTGTTTCTTTTCGCCTTTGGTTGGCCTAAAGCCATTCTACTGCAGCCCCGCACAAAGGGATGAACATGAGGTTATTTCAGTGTCAAAGGCTGTCTGAGTGGCCATGCGAGGAAATGAAGGCTCCTGCCAGCATGTTTCTAGTTTGGTGGGAAACAGCCCAGTCCAAAGAGACCTGGTCAGAAGATTGGTCAGCTCCTCTTCCTTCAGAGGACAGCCACATTCTTGCAGCACTTTCTGCAACTTGTGTATCGATATGTAGCCATTTTTAGATTTATCGATTTTGGCGAGTGCTTTGCTGATATCTTGATAATGGTCCATAAGCTTATCCCTGAAAAAGAATATATTTCAGTTACACCCTAAAATCGGGAAAGCAAATATTAAAGCAAGTGTTCTGTGATCGTTCTACTGTGATGACTCGATGGTTCATCTAAGAACTAATTTTGAAGATGTTTTATAGCCTCAGTATAACATTCATATTAAAAGGTATCCCAGCAAAAATGATCAGTTTGCATCATTATTGCTTTATTATTACTATCATTAGCAAAACTACCTTAGAGAAATTATAATCTTGCCTTTTTACTGGAATTGTAACTTTAAAAATGGACCCAAGCATTTTAAAATACAGTAATATTATCTACAGACATGTAAAAATGTCCCTTCATTCTCAATAAATACCTGTTGGGCACCTATTATGTGGTGGGTGCTGTGACACATGCAGTGAATCAAACAGGCATACCCAGAATTCCCATTCCAGTGGGGGAAAGACTGACAATAAACGGAAGACAAAGTAGGACGATAGGTTTGCAGGCAAGCAGAGCCTACCAGGGAGGGGGGCTGAGGACGCCTAGAATGTCAGTGCGTCACAAGTCTGAGTAAGGATGTGCAGACAGCCCTCACCGGGAACATGACACTTAGGCAAGAACCAGGCAGCAAAGGAGTCAGCCAAGGACCCAGGGGAGAGCAGTGCCAGGCCCTAAAGAGGAGCTGGGGAGGCCTGGGCCCTGTTATGCTAAGGACAAAGAAGTGTCTTGTGACTCCTCATTTTTTTAAGCAGGTATTTTTATTAAGAAACACAGCCACTCTTATGTGTGCATCAACAGACAGGCCAGGAGGTGTGTTGTCTTCCTCAGGTACAGTCTTACACTTGACCTTCTCAACCACCCTGCCAGGCGGTGGGTCTCACGTTACAGATAAACAAGACAGTGCTGGACCCAAGGGCAAAACTAGGGAAGATTTCCCCTCTACCCTCCCCCCCACAGCGAAGCAGACAGCACCCTGCTATAGTTCCCAGGAAGTCTCTAGAATCCAATGTTTTCAGTTCTAGAAAATTCTTCCTTGATTAAAAAGAAATTATTGTTAAGAGACTAAAACTGTGGACATCTTTAAGAGTAAACAATCTTGCACCTGACCTATGGGGGAGCGATTATAAATTCTATAATTGCAGCTCACCCAAGTCTCTGAAAAGCTCTAGAAAAATTAACAATATGCTTGTCTGATGGGCTGAGACTTAACTTTGGCTTTGAGGTTATTCCTCAGGGAAAACAAAGTGTTATAAATTCTAAAATCACAATTTTTGGTAGTAATTGTCTATCATCTTAGATATGCATTAGTGAGAGAGGACAGTTCCTTGAGCATGCCTGGAAAAAAATAATCCACAGCAAGAGAAAAGTCAGAGCTATAAGGCCAGGCACGGTGGCTCATACCTGTAATCCTAGCACTCTGGGAGGTCTAGAAGGGTGGAATGCCTGAGCTCACAGGTTCAAGACCAGCCTGAGCCAGAGCGAGACCCTTTCTCTAAAAATAGCCATGTGTTGTAGTGGGCATCTGTAGTCATAGCTACTCCTGTAGTCATAGCTACTCGGGAGGCTGGGGCAAGAGAATTGCTTGAGCCCAAGAGTTGGAGGTTGCTGTGAGCTGTGATACCACTGCACTCTATGCAGGGCGACAAAGTGAGATGCTGTCTAAAAAAAAAAGTCAGAGCTATAAGAGGGTGAAATTCAGTGGGAATGTCCAAGAGGGTAGAAGGAGGTAGTGTTTACTTTGAAGCTACCTGGAGGAGCCAATCCCTTCTCTCGCTGGCCTCCACTCTGGGATTGGCTCACACGACATTCAGGCACGTAAGACAAACGAGCACATTCACTGTTCTGTGTGTGTAGCCAACAGCAGCAAGGTTCTGGATTCCCTTACAGGTGTACATTGAATTCAGTCCCATGTTACAAAATGATTACTCGTCATCATAACTATTATATTCCACTTAATCTTTCAAAATGAAAGCAAATGGAGGTATAAAAAACCAAAACATTTTTTGAGATACATATTTTTAGAAAATTGAGGCATTCAGCATTTCTTGGATCAGTTTCCAGGCGGTAATTATTTCCCTTGCAGAGTAAATATGTGCACAGAGTAAATGAGGGTTTAGAGCGCAGATCACAGCACACTGCCAAACAGAAATGGTGTCAGCCGACACAGGGTGGCAAAGCTGCTCTGGGTCTACATACAGATCAGGGTCTGGAAGATCAGATAAAAGCCTGAAGAGGGCACTGGTACGGCCAGTAGGATGGCTAGGGGACCCTCACACATGCAGCCATTGGCCTGGTGCTACTGAGAATTTGCATGCCCCTCCAGTTTGCTTTCCAAAATGGGCCCTGCTGTGTGGCTCATTCACTGTTGCTATTCTCATTCTGAATCTTCAGCTCAGGCTCAGGCAAAAAAGAGCAAGGCATGGAAAGGAAATGTAAGTTTAAAAACGGATTTTTCTTAAACCTTCAAAATGTATTTAGGGTGCTCAAAACAAAGTTAATTTCTGTAGATTTAAGAGGAAAATACAAAATTTTAATCACTTCAATTGAACATGCTTCTCACCTATCGATCAGATCAGTTTCAGTATAAATGGAAAGGTAAAAATAAATGCTGGAAACACTGAGTCTTAGGGCTCACTGGGAAGCTGACAGTGAAGTTTAAAAACATCCTGAAAGGCAAGGTTACTTGGAAATTGTTACAGGCCGATATTTTGTGAGAAAACAGAAGTTGGTCACACATTTATTTCCTTTACTAACGGAGTAGGGGCATGGCAAAGAGGAATGGGTCAGAGTGCATCAGTTCACTGAGCCTGATAATCTGAAATGCTTTGCCTCATAGTACGCAGTTCTTTTAGCTACAGACCCACCATGCTGCACACAGCACAGAGATGCAGGCAAGGAAAGCATATGGTGCAAGCACCCAGCACAGGCAGTCTCCCTCCTAGAGCCTCATTACTCACAGTGGCAGGCAAGATGAGGAGAGAAGACACGAGTGGGTAATGAGGCCAACCATGTCAGGTAAAGACAAATTCCACATTTTCATTAGCTTTATGGCATATTTGATTTATACCAATCTTGTGCATATTTTACTTTGAATTTCACAAACTCAATTCTCTGCCTTCAGGCTTCATAACTCAGTAACTTAGACCTAATTCAGGGATGTGTTCAAATTGCTTTTCTCGTAAACCCCATTTAACTATTACTTTTCACCCCTGTGTCCTTGGCATCCTTATTTCCTTTGGGGATTCTTTAGCAACAACTCATTCACTGGTTCAGGTGGTATGTGACCTGGGGGCAGAGAGCTGAATCCTGCCTATTGAAATGGAAGACAGGAGTTAGGTAGTTAGGTGCACAAACAAGGAAGAGCAAGACGGAGCTAAGGCAAAGCTGTGGAGCAGCAGGACAGAGCCTCACACACAGGAAGCACAGATGGGTGACCACGTATTGAGAACCATGTTAGCTTTCCAAGAAAATATGGCTTATTGCTATATGGTCACATTATACATAGCCTAATTTTTTCTAAGATATAAATGTTAAAAAATATGACACGAGCAACTAGTTTTAAAATGTGAAAGTAGACAAAGAGTGACTGAATGGATTAAAAGTCATGACCCAACTATATGCTGCTAAGAAACTCACTTCCCTATAAAGACAAACATAGATAGAAAGTAAAGGGATAGGAAAAGATATTCTACACAATAGACAACCCCCCCAAAAAAGAAAAACAGAAAATAGACTTTAAGTCAAAAAATGTAAAGAAACAAAGAAAATCATCATTGTATGATGACCAAGCAGTCAATTTAGCAAGTCATATAGCAATAGTGAATGTATATGCACGTAACACTGGAGCACCAAAATCTATAAGGCAAATAGTAACATATCTAAAGGGAGAGAAAGCCTGAAATACAACAAGAGTAGGAAACTTCAACACCCCACTGTTGGCGATGGAAAGATAATCCAGGCAAACAAACACACAAGCAAACAAAGAAATATCTAAGTTAAACCATATTCTAGTGGACCAATGGACCTAGAAGACATTTACAGAACATTTCATTCAACTGCTGTAGAATATACATACACTCTTCTCATTAGCATAGAGAACATTCTCCAGAATACATGTTAGGTTAGGCCACAAAACAAGTAAAAAAATCCACAAAGATCAAAATCATATCCAGTATCTCTTGTAACAGGATAAAAATGGAAATCAGTAAGAGGAATTTTGGAAACTGCAAAAATACAAGGAAAATAAACAATGTGCTCTTCAATGACTAAGGGGTCAATGAAGAAATTAAGAAGAAAATTTAAAATGTTCTTGAAATAAACAAAAATGGAAATACAACATACCAAAATCTAGGGTATATAAGAAAGCAGTACTAAGAGGAAAGATTATAGCAATTAATGCCTACATCAAAAAAGTGGAAAGACTTCAAGTAAACCACCTAATGATGTATATCAAGGAACTAGAAAAGCAAGAACAAGCTAAACCCAAATTAGTAGGAAGAAAGAAATAAATGAACATCAGAGTAAAAATAAAAAACTAACTGAAAACCCCAGAAGAAATGGAAAAAATTTGGACACATACACCCTATCAGGATTGAACCCATAATGAACGATGAGATTGAAGTAGTAATAAAATATTCCCCCTGGAAAGCTCATGACCTGATGGATTCACTGCTGAATTCCAGTAAACATTTAAAGAAGAACTATTACTAATTCTTCCAAACTCATTCTATAAGGCCAGCATTATACTGATACCAAAACCAGGCAAGGACACAGTAAAAAAGAAGGCCAATGTCCCTGATGAACATAGATGCAAAAATCCTCCAAAAGATACTAGCAAACCAAATTCAACATCACGTTAAAAAGATCATTCACCATGATCAAGTGTGAGTCTTCCCAGGGATGCAAGAATGGTTTAATATACACAAGTCAATCATCATGATTCAACACTCACTCAATAAAAGGACAAAAACCATATGATCGTTTTAATAGATGCTGAAAAAGCATTCAATGAAATTCAACAATGCTTCATGGTAAAACTCTCAACAACTTGGGTATAGAAGAAACATATCTCAAAACAACACAAGCCATAGATGACAAACCCATAGCTAATACCATACTGAATGGGGAAAAATGGAAAGCCTTTCCACTGAGATGTAGAACAATGCTCGATGCCTACTTTTGCCATTTCTATTTAACATGTTACTGAAAGTCCCAGCCAGAACAATTAGGTAAGAGAAATAACTGGAGGGCATTCAGAAAGAAAGAAAGAAGTCAAATTATCCTTGTTAGCAGATGATATGATCTTACATTTAAAAAATCCTAAAAACTTTCCCCCCCAAAACCTGATAGAACCGACAAATGAATTCAGTAAAGTTGCAGGACATAAAATCAACTTATAAAGATCAGTCATGTTTCTGTATGGTAATAATCATCAATCTGAACAAGAAATTAAGAAAGCAATCCCATTTACAATACCCCCATACACATACACACAAAACCCCTAGGAATAAATTTAAACAAAAAGTGAAAGATCTCTACAAGGAAAACTATAAAGCACTGATAAAAGAAATTGAAGAGAACACAAAAATATGGAAAGATATCTCAAGTTCATAGATTGGAAAAATTAATATTGTTAAAATATCTATGCCACACTACTCAAAGTGATCTGATCTATAGGTTCAATGCAATCCTACCAAAATACCACTGACATTCATCACAGAAATAGAAAAAATAATCCTAAAATTTGTATAGAACCACAAAAGACCTCAAATACTTAGAGAAATTTTCACCAAAAAGAACAAAGTTGGTGGTATCATACTACCTGATTTTAAATTATACTACAAAGCTAGAGTAATCCAAACAGCATGGCACTGACAGAAAAATGGTACCAATAGAACACAGTGATCAATGGAACAGAATAGAGAACCCAGAAATAAATCCATACTAATATCCAACTCATTTTTTGACAAAGGTACCAAGAATATACAATGGGGAGAGAATAGTCTTTTTAATAAATGGTGCTGGGAAAACTAGATATCCATATGCAGAAGAATGAAACTAGAGCCCATCTTTTATCATATACAAAAATCAACTCAAAATAGTTAAAGACTTAAATGTAAGACCTGAAACTATGAAACTATTGGAAGAAAACATTGGGAAAACACTATAAGACATTGGTCTGGGCAAAGATTTTGGGGGTAAGACCTCAAAAGCACAGGCAACAGAAGCAAAAATAAACACTTGGGATCAAATTAAGCTAAAAAGCTTACGCACAGCAAAGCAAAGGAAATAATGAACAAAGTGAAGACAACTTACTAAATGGGAGAAAATATCTGCAAACTACTGATCTGACAAAGGTTACTAACCAGAATATATAAGGAACTCAACAACTTAGTGGCAAAATCCTCCAAAAAATCCAATTCAAAAATGAACAAAAGGTCTGAATAGACACTTCTCAAGAGAAGACATGCTAATGACCAAGAGGTGTATAAGGAAATGCTCAAAATCACTGACCGTCAGGGGAACACAAATCAAAACCATAATCAGAATGGCTGTCATCAAAAAGACAAAAGTACAAATGCTGGTGAGGGTGTAGAGAAGGGGGAAGGCTCCTACGCTCTTGGTGGGAATGTAAATGCTTTCACAGCTGCTATGGAAAACAGTATGGCGGTTCCTCAAAAAACTAAAAATAGAACTACCATATGATCCAGCAATTCCACTACTGAGTATATGAAATTGTCATATCAAAGAGACAGCTGCACGCCTGTGTTTACTACAGCACTATTCATAACAGCCAAGATACGGAACCAACCTAGGTGTTTATCAAAGGATGAATGGATAAAGAAAATGTGGCCTATATATGCACATACACACAGGGGAATATTATTCAGCCATAAAAAAGAATGAAATCTTGTCATTTGCTGCAACATGGATGGAACTGGAGGTCATTGTCTTAAGTGAAATAAGTCAGGCACAGAGAGACATACATTTTTCTGTGATCTCACTAACAGGTGGGGCCTGCCACAGTGGAATTCATGAAGGTAGAAAGTAGAATAGTGGTTACCAGAGGCTGAGCAACGCGGGGGGAATGAGGGATGAAGAGAAGTTGGTTAAAGGGTAGAGGAAATAAGTTCTAGTATTTGTAAGTACGGGGGGAGAGGGGGATTAGAGTAAGTAATTTATTGTCTATTTCAAAATTGCTAGGCCAGAAGATTTATAGCATTCCTAACACAAAGAAAAGATAAATGTTTGAAGTGATAAATTATCTGAGTTACCCTGATGCGATCATTACACACTGCCCACATGTATCAAAATATCAGATATATCCCCCTTACAACTGTTAAATATCAATTAAGAAGAATTGAAAGATCCTTTCACGTGGAGTCCCACCATCCAAATGCAAGGTGTGACTTTCTGCACAGCATCCTGGTCCCGGTGTGCAGGCACACAACATCTGAGATCATCCCAGTCACGGTGTAACACCCCACAGCACGTCCGCCAATGAGCCCTTTACACAGCTGTTTCCCATGTTCTCCCACAGTTATTCCCACAGGTACATACGCGGCACTATTTCATGTCTTCAGGCCACACTTTACTAAGCTCGTGTACTAATCTGGGATTGGAAAATGTTCCTGTTGTTGCTCTTCTTGCTGTTAAAGACATACTACACATCATACCTTCCAATCGTTAAGCTGTTGGCCTCTTCTGAATTATTTTTTGGGATAAAGTTCTCAAAGTAGAGGCGGTGAGTTAAAGGCTATGTCAGCTCATCCATTCATTCAACACATACTTGCTGGGTGCCAACTCGGTGTCCAACAGAGTGAAGTGACAGACATCCCAGTGGAACCTGCACTCTAGTTGGGCCAGAGAGGGGCCAGGAAAGGTGCCATCACAACTCAAAAGGCAACTTTTCAACGTGTGTGAGAATGGCAGGAGGTTGTGGCCGGGAAGGGGGAAAAGGTTCACAACCTTTGAGCTACTCTTTGACATGGCACCAATTTCTAGAAATCTACAGCAGTGAACAAGTATAACAATCTCATGACAGCTTTGCTGGCACCAGAAGGGTCCACATAAGACAACTCTCCCTACCAGAGTGAGTGTCTGCAGGACACCTGCACTACAGGCCCATGATACAAACTCACCTGGCTGGCGCGGCCTTCTCTGAGCTCTGCTGCAGCTCCTTTATCTCCTCTTGTATCTGTTGTGGCTTCGTGAAATGACCCATGAAGTTGAAATAATCCTCTGCATAAGGCCGGTGGGAAGTTGGGGAATAGTTAATACCCAATTTCTGTACAAACTCTTGGTAAGTAATGTGCCCTTTTCCCTCGGTGTCATAGCTTAAACAAACAGAAACAAAACAAAAAGCTCTTATCAGTAACGACTAAGGTGTGTCCGGGCTCAGGGCTCTCACGTTTCTGCCTCCCCCTGACCGGAGCTCAGACTCTGGCTCATCTCTGTTCAAAGTGTGCCCTGCTGACCAGAAGCACTGGCCTCCCCAGGAAAAGGCACACTCTGGGGCCTCACTCTAGACTGGATCTGATCTGCAGCTGAACGAGACCCCCAGGTGACTCCTGGGTACATCAAAGTTTGAAAACCATTGCTCTAAGCACCAGGATGATGGATCCCCACAGGTATGCCTGCCCCAGAGGCAGCAACCACCCTGCTCACCCGGCACTGTTAGAAATACAGCTGTGAGGAGAGAAAATTAAAACCAGCCCCTCCACATACTCAACAGTTTTTTTTTATTGAGTACCCCCATGTAAAGGGAACTATGCTAAGGTTTAGAAGAAAATTCTTCAGAAAGCATATTCAATCTTAAAACTCAAATAAATGAACACCACTTGATTCAGAGATGGCAAGATTGCCATTTTGTCTTTGAAGAGATGCAATTACACACAGCCAATGAGAGCGGCCAGTGAGGAAAACAAGATAAGAATTATGCTATGTGGCTTTTATGTCGTTTTCTATTATTGAGATTTTTCTGAATTATAACTCATTAAAAAAGGCATAATGGACGGTTTTTATCTCTCAACGTTATTCAAATAGAATAGAATTACTTCAATAAATTCTTTAAGGCAAATTGCCAATCTTCTTTTAAAGAAAAAAAAAACCATTTATTTTTATAGAAAGATCTTGGTCCTCATCTGATCGATAAAAATGGAACTTGCGGATGGGATTTTCCCCAGATGAACCTGGAGTTACAAGGAATGAGACTAGATTTAAACAATTTTGCAGGCATAATTCTTCCATCAAGATGCCGTTTGGGTATTTGTCTGACCAAGGGAAGTACAAACATTTCCTTGGTGAAGCAGAGCGTCCTCTCGTCCAACCGACAAGATCCTGGAGGATCTACACAGCCTGCTGTTGCCTTGGACACCCCAAGCCCTGTGTGTGCATCTGTTTCAGTTGAATAACGATGAAGAAGTATGTTTATTTACTGACTCCTTGTCCTTAAGGAGTGGGGCAGGGAGTGGAAGATGAGGGGTGACAAGTGTGTATAAATGCTTCCTGCGCTGGCATTAAAATCTGCAGAGGGTCCCAGGGCTGGAAGTTTAAAATCTGCAGAGGGCCACCATCCTTCCCAAAGGCCACGTGGGGCTGTCCCTCCAGGTGCCCCAAGAGCCCAAGGCCTCTTTATCTCCCTCTCCTGGCCTCTTTTCCTCTTGGGCCTGGAGGCCTGTAGCTCCCTCTGCCCGACATCTGACCTCATGTGCCTTGATCGGCACCCAGGCCTGTTCCTGACACGGATGCCACCTTCCAGGGTACAGAAATGCCCCTCTGCTGAGTTAGTCCAGCACTAGCTCACTAGTAAGGAGGGGCCATGGTTGCCTCTAACAAAGGGCTTTCCTCACTGCTGGCCACGACAGGGTGGCTGCAGCCAGGGAGGGAAGGGAAAGTCCCGAGGTGGGACCTGAGAGAATTCCTCAGCTGCACCAGGTACCACGTTCACCTCTGCGGCCTGTTCTGGGCCACCACTGGGGCCTGTACCACTTTCACCCATTTCTTGAGCTTCTAGGGTGATCCCGGGGTCATGTGTCTATCCTTAAACTGCTCCCGGACTGCCATGATTCTTGTGCCACTACAGTGATATAATCGCGAAGCCCTGGCAAAGACATCCCCTGAATGAAAGGCTCTGCGTTCCTAAGGGAGGATTCCTGACAGAATGGGCCGCAGGCCACCCCCTGGCAAACAGCCCCCAGGCGGCAGCACGCTCTTTCAGAAACCTCTCTGTCCTCTAAGTGCCTGCAATCCTGCCTTCCTCTGAGCTCCTCTGTAGGAAGGAAAAAGACTGGAGGTGTTAATGTGCCTGGGCCCCTGGCCTGGGGTCGGATGAGAGGCCAGGGAGTGGGTGCTGAGCCTGTTACTGCTATTTGCCACCCAAAGGCTCTAGCACATCCTGTCTCATTCCAGTTCCTATGTGGATGTCTTAGCTCCCTACCAGGGAGCAAGTTCCTTGAGGAGAAACTATGCCCTGGTTGATCTTTACAGACTCACAATGTCCGACAACACGCCCTGCACAAACTAAGTTACAGACTCAGGTCTCTTGGGCTAATGAGTGTTAGGGAAGCACGTTTCTAAGGCGGGACTCCCCTCTGGCGTGCTATGCTCAAGAGATTACCAACAACAAACTCTAAATCATGACACTTGAGCTGAATGAAAAGGCACTTCTTAATTACTTCATTAATAAAGATTATAAACATTCTATTCTCATTGCAAAGAAACAGAAGACCAGATTGCACAATTGCAACTAAAATATTGTTATGAATGTGAATAATAAGAGAGTTAATTCGGCTTACATAACCTCACCCTTCATTATATAATCCTTTGTGTAACATTAAAAAAAAATCAACTTGCCTATAAAGGTTGAATTTTAAAATGTTTCAGCAACAGATGTGCCAGGAAAAATGTGTACATAGACAGAGGACCCATAAAAGCTCGCATTTGCATATGGCAATGGCCACTAATTTATGATATAATCAGATTGCTCTGCCTGTTTATTGCACACACAGCAGTTCAGCTGTGCACGTAATTTGGACATGTTTGCCCAGATTGTTTCGCTTTGCTGAGAGTCTTAGCCCTTTACGTGCAGTGTAGGCACTCACTTCTTACATAAATTTCAGAAGTGCCTTTGAGTACCCCTGGTCCCAGAGTTAAAGGACCCAGTCCGGAGAGTGGTACAGGCCCAGTGGTGGCCCAGAACAGGCCGCAGAGATGAACGTGGTACCTGGTGCAGCTGAGGAACTCTCTCAGGTCCCACCTCAGAGGGAGGACTGAGAGTTCAAATAGCTGCTCTTGAGAAATTAAAGTGTCCATTAGGATGTTCTGATGGAATCACAGAAGATTAGCCTCATCTGCCTCATTAGATCCCTCCTCTATAATTCCCAGTAAGTGGTGGTCTAGCTGGGATGAAAGCCATGCCAGAGGTGAGAACCCCAGTCCTCCATGGCCCTTGAGGATTCCAGATATGTAATCACTGCAAAGGTCTTGATGCTGAGTGTCTCCAAGTTGGATCTCCTGCATATATAGCACTTCAACAATTCCACTCCTGTTCATGTCTCATTAAATCTTTTTTTTTTTTTTTTGAGACAGAGTCTCACTCTGTCAACCCCGGCTAGAGTGCAATGGCATCATCATGTCTTAATGCAACCTTAAATTCTTGGGGTCAGGTGATCCTCCTGCCTCACCCTCCCAAGTAGCTGGGACTACAGGCGCCTGCCACAACGCCCAGCTAGTTTTTCTATTTTAGTAGAGACGGGGTGGGGGAGGAGGGAGTCTTGCTCTTGCTCAGTCTGGTCTTGAACTCCTAAGCTTAAGGGATCCTCCCACCTCAGACTCCTAGAGTGCTAAGACTACAGCCACCACACCTAGACAAGTCTCTTTTCTAAGCTAAAGACCCTGTTCACTCAACCCTTCCCCATCTCAAGCCTTTCTGTCCAGATATTCCAGTGGCTGGGCCTTGGGTAGGTTCTCTCCAGGTGCTGCCTGGTGGAGCCAATAGAAATGACCTTGTGCACTGCCGAGGGAAGCGCAGAGTCCGTGACGCCGCACAGGCTGCTGCATGTGACCCAGGTCAGTCCGTGACGCCACACAGGCTGCTGCACGTGACCCAGGTTCCAGGTCAGTCCATGATGCCACACAGGCTGCTGCACGTGACCCAGGTCAGTCCGTGACCCCGCACAGGCTGCTGCACGTGACCCAGGCTCCTTTTTTCATAATTGAACACGGTGCACAACTTTACTGCCATTTCAGGAAATGTGCATAAACTGCCCATTAATTATCTCTTGACTATCCATTGAGTTTCTTGCTTAGCCAGTGTATTTCTTCTTGCTTTTTCTACAAGTTAATGTAACATCAGTTTAATGACCCTCACCCTCTTCTCCATCACCCCAGCGAAGGCATCAAGAGCTGGCAGGAAGGGCTCAGTGGTTACGATAGGTTGTCAAGGCACCTGGGAGCCTCCTTCTGTTGCCCTAGGACAGGAAGGAGGCGGGCCCAAAACAGAGGCAGAGACAGGCTGTCTCACAGCGTGGGTGGAGCTGCAGGGAAGTTGGGGAGCAATAGGGCAGCCTGACACACCCCGTCAGCTCAGGCCGTCCGAGCAGGCTCAAGGCCACTGTCAGAGAGGACAGAACTCCGTCAACTAGGTGGAAGTGAATAGGAAAGTACCCCTGTGCTCTTCTGAAAACATGAAATTAGAAAATACGGCAGAAGATGTCATGAAAAAGTGTTCAACATCCATTATTTATTCATTTTACATTTATTTAGCATTACAAAGTGTACTAGTTTTACAGCTTCAGATTAGTCGGGAGGGTCTAGTTTATGCTGAAGAAGTAAATTAATAAATCACCCCCCAAATCTCAGCAGCTTAGCACATCCTATTTCTTTTCCTATCCACCCTAAGAGTGACTCATGGGGCAGCTCTGACACACGGGGCAGCTCTGATGGACAGTTGCCTTCAGGCAGTGATTCAGGGACCTGTGGCTTTCCCCTTGTGTCTTCATCATCTCAGTGGGGACCCAGCCCCTGGGGTGGAGACCGTGGAGCTGCAGGGTGCTCCTGCCTCCTCTATGCCGGACCATTAGAAAGCCACTCGTTCACCTTTGTGCTCCAGGCTCTGGCTTCACCCTCCTCCTCATAGCCAGAGTGATTGCTCTAGAAAGCAGGCCTGGCCAGGGCTTTTTCCTACTACTCCCCTGACGGTCAGGGCAAGGTCCCTGCCTCGTCCTTGCCTTTCGTGATGTGGCTCAGATTCCACGCTGCTTCCTCTCTGGCGGCCCCAGGCTGTCTGTCCTCTGGCCACCTGGGCTATGCAGCAGTCCAAGAAGGTGACACCCTCTTCTGCTTTCTAGGACATTTGTCTGGTGGCTCTCAACCCCATGCTAGTCCTTCTGCACAGCCGTCCTCTGTGCCACCCACTGGGCTGCTCCCAAGAGGTCTGCCGGTCACAGGGTGGGATGAGCCATGCTGTTTCCAGGGGCACCTCCAGGTTGGCAGTGGCTACGGCTCCCACTCAGAACAGCAGCTGAGATTCTAGCAGCTTCCACAACATCAGTGGCACTGGGTTGGGCTGGGCTGTGGGTTGCAGCCCAGGTTGCTGGCAGCTTCCTAATCTTCTCTTTGGCCCCAGCCTCTGGATGGAGCAGTATCCAATCTCTGGGCAGCACCTCCCTCCTCTCTTGCTCTGACAGCTCACAGCAGCAGCAGCCTCTGGTTTCTAACTAATAACCATGTTCCCTTTTCAGACTCCTAGCCCTTTAGACATGTTTTGTTATTTACTACATTAAATCCTGCTCCGCCCACCTGGGCACCGTGGCCCACACCTATAATCTTAGCACTCTGGGAGGCCAAGGCGGGTGGATTGCTTGGAGCTCACCAGTTCGAAACCAGCCTGAGAAAAAATGGGAGACACCTGTCTCTACTGAAAATGGAAAAACTGAGGTGAGAGGATCACTTGAGTCCAAAGAGTTGGAGGTTGGGGTTAGCTATGAAAACCATGGCACTCCACCTGGGGTGACAGCTTGAGACTCTATCTCAAAAAAAAAAAAAAAAATCCTGCTTAGCTTAGTAAATATTAAGAGTGGTTTCTATTTGCCCTGCCTGGACACTGATGAACATGTTCCTGAAATTTCCTCTACCTTGAATGCTTTAATTCCACAGGTGGCAAACACCATTATAAGCCCCCACCCCATCTCTATTTTTGGCTAGCATACGGGTGCAGAGTGCTTCTCACAGACTCCCTTGCAGGTAGGCATGGCCACGGGAATGGATTCCGAGCACAGGAACGTGGTGATGGCCACATTTCCAGGCCTGGCTCCTGCAAAGTTGACCACGCCATCTTCTGTGCTTGGTCCCCTCTCTGCAGGCCAGACATAGAAGGTCCAGAGCATGGTGGGACGCCTGGTTCCTGAGGAGCCTATTGGTATAGCACTTCTCGCGCTCACACTAGACCACGATGTCATTTTGGGGGGAGCCACTGAGATTTTGGCCTTGTTTGTTCCCACGGCCAGGCTACCCTGACGACTGTACCATGCAAACTAAGTCACCTTAGAAATCTCAGTTTCACGAGGCAAAAGAGTTGTCAGGCTGGGTGGTGGTGACGGTCGTGCAACATTCCGAATGTATTGGATACCACTGAACCATATGCTTGGAAATGTGTAACAGGGTAAATTTTATGTTATGTGTATTTTAACACATTAAAAAACCAACAGCAGGATTTTGTTAATCCTGATTCAATAATAATTTAATCTGATTTTGAAAATGTAGATACAACATGAAATACTTTTTAGAAAACAGTTCATCTAATAAGATAAAATCAAAATAATAGGTACGATAATTTGTAAACTTACTAGTAAGTACCTCATCAAGCTAAGAGAAAAAAGAGCCCACAGGGATCACGAAGAGAACATACATACTACCCCAAAGAGATAATTCTAGAACCCAAAGGGAGATTCACCTAGTGAGGGGAGAGAATAGAGAAATGATCAGCCCCGAGAACTGGACTTTTCTATGGTCTCCAAATTCCATCTATGAAAAACCGGATTCCTGTCACTCTTACACCTCCCTCCACTTCTTCATATGTGAATTTTGTTCTGTGGAAGAAGTCACCTTGAAATAACTCAGCCTAAAAGCCAGCTTATCAGTCAACGACCTCTGAGGTCTTCCCCAGTCTCCCAGGGACACTGCGTGTAATGAGCAAGTATTTCTCTTCGCAAGACCATGAGAGCAAGTTGGGGGGTGAGCTCTGTATTATTTATTATTATTGGTCATCCTCAGCCCCACAGAGAGCCACACAGCCAGGCTGCTAGTGAGTGTTTGCAGAGTGGTTACCCTGTGCCTGGCCCTGTGCTAGCCCGTCACACAGGCTCCTCGTGGCATCTCTGGTGACAGGAACACTAAGTCCTGCTTCACAGATGAGGAGCATGAGGCAAGGAGAAGTTAAGGAGGCAGCACAGGGAGTGCAGGAGTCAGGCTGTCGCTTTAACCACTCACCCTGCACGGTGTAAGGTCAACTAAACAACAGATGAAACTCTGACCATAAGCTGTTGTTGACAGGGCAGACACTGATCCACATCACAGTAATACTCATAAATGTATAAAGACATTTTTGCCAAAAGCAACATGAGAGTCTCTCTGTTGAGAATGGGAGCAGGATCTGTCCCACGTGGGGAAAAGGGCATGGCTGCTCTCATTCCCACAGGGGAACCTAATGGGGGACCCTGGGCCCCAGTGCCCCTCCTCCCATGGCCAGCCCTCAGCTCAGGGGCTTGCCTGCCCCACCTGAGGGAGACAGTGATCTCCCCAACAGCCTCTCCCCAACCTGTTTCCCAACTCGCCTTCCTAAACTACAGCTCTGCTCACATGATAACCTCTCAAATCCCACCATTCCCAGCACCTGGCCATTAGTGCCTGAAACAGCACCTGGGAGGGCATGAGCCTCCCCTTCCTTTCTGCCCCTGGAGCCCCTGCCACTCCTGATAGGACACTCCCATAGATCAGGCAGACTCTCAACTCAGAATGGCCCCTTGTCCATCCTGACTGGGGAAATTTTATTTCCACATCCCTCTATCATGACCACTTCCTGTGCTTCTGGCCCCGAGGTCCTGCTGTGTGCCACCCTCCCACACCTCAGCTGCTCGGGTGGGTGGGTGCTCTCTGTGCCCTGACACCTCCCTGAAGACAGGGCCCATGTGGTCAGACCAGAATCACCCAGGGTCTGTGGAGTGCGAGGGCCATGCATTTGCTGCTATACAAGATCTTTTTATTACTCAGAGCTACTAATGTCATCTACAGCCAGAGAAAGTGGATGAGGTGTCTAAGTTGGCCCTGTGCTGCAACTGATTTTTAAAAAAATAGGCATTTTGTAAGAGCTTCATTTGGCTTTTCTAAATTGGACACAAAACAACCCACCTAATTCTAAACTCAGCCAACATGTCAGCCTTCCACTTTGAACAGATGAAAAGCTACAAAATTATGTGAACCGTTTCCTGAGCTGGCCTCCTGAGTGGACATACAACACTGGTGTGCCATCCTCGGGGAGTGCAAGTGGCAAGGAGCATGTCACGAGAAGGGGAGCAACTCAAAGACGACCCTGGACCCTGGAAGCAGACCACTTTGCTATGCGCCTTGAACCTGAGACACCTGTGTGGGGAACAGTGGGCAAGCACAGCCGGGGCCTGGCTCCTGCACAAACAAATCTAAGTATATTTTGAAAAACGGAACCAGCATCAGATCCTATTCAGTTTAACAGATCCTTAAGAAACTACGAAACTACTCCAAGTTGCCAAAATTTGGCCATTTTCTTCCCACAAATTACCTATCTATAGGACAGTTGTGAATACTGACTTCCTTCTTTAGGCAATCAAGAGAAACTTTTTCTCCTTTACCCACAGCATGTACTGAGTTAAGTCTTCAGAGAGTGGCATTATTTCTCCAAAACAGTACAAGCATGGGCTTGAACCCCCAGTCCAATGGAAAGGCAGACCTCTAGAGTCCAGGACTGATGAGGAATGCTCACCCTGGTCACCACATTCCTGAAGATCAGCCTGTCCCCCAAGGACCAAGGGAGAAGGATACAGGACAGATGCACCCCCCCACTGTGTCCTAAAGTAGTTAGGGGACAGTTGTGCTGAAATCATCACAGCAAGCGACCCAAAGCCATCCGAAGTGAAGACGGCCAGTCTTCACACACCACTTACCTCAACCAAAGCTTCTCAAATTCTTTCGGTGTGAGGGGAATATCAAACCCGTACAGGGCGTTCTTTATATCCCACCGTCGGAGGATGCCATTGCCCTCGCTGTCAGTTTCCAGAAAGTGCTACAACATTAGAAGGTGGTTTTTAGGAACATACAAAATGTACCCGCGACAACATAGAAGATTTTCAGCAGTCACTGTCTGAAACAATCTAAGGCAGTGGTTCTCAACCTTCCTAATGTCTCAACCCTTTAATACAACAAGTTCCTCATGTTGTGGTGACCCCCAACCATAAAATTATTTTCGTTGCTACTTCATAGCTGTAGTTTTGCTACTGTTATGAATCATAATGTAAATATCTGATATGCAGGATGTATTTAGGCAACCTCCGTGAAAGGGTCGTTTGACCCCCAAAGGGGTTGTTACCCACAGGTTGAGAACCACTGATCTAAGGCATTTCTCCCCAGGAAACCCAAAATACCTGCCTGGCCCTTTATAGAAATGGTGTCTCAACGCCTGCTCTAAGGTATGGACAATGTTCTTTTTCCTCATCTGAATGGTGGTTACATGGTGACTACTTTAAATTTATTTAAAATATACGTGTACTTTTTATATACTTACAACTTAAAAAGTAATTAAGTTTTAAAAAAAAATTAAGTCTGGATCAGGCACAGTGGCTCATGCCTGTAATCCCAGCACTCTGGGAGGCCAAGGTGAGTAGACTGCCTAAGTTCACAGGTTTGAGACCAGCTGGAGCCAGAGCGAGACCCCACCTCTAAAAATAGCTGGGCGTAGTGGCGGATGCCTGTAGTCCCAGCTACTTGGGAGGCTGAGGGAAGAGAATTGCTTGAGCCTAAGAGTTTGAGGTTGCTGTGAACTGTAATGCCACAGCACTCTACCAAGGGCAACAAAGTGAGACTCTGTCTCAAAAAAAAAAAAAAATTAAGTCTATAGGATTTCAAAGTCCTTTTAAAAACATGCAGCAGGTTTCCCATGTGAAAAACTTGGAAGTCACCATTCTGTCCCAATAACGAGTAAAAATCTGAACAAATTGAGAGACCAATAGCTCTTCTTGGATTGTAGGATAAGTGAGGTCACAGGGCAGACCACTGCCTCCAAACTGGAGAGAAATACAGGCAAATACAGAGAATCACAACTTAGCAGAACAGACACTCATCAGCAGAACCCGTGCCAGGAAGACAGAGCTGAGGAAACACTCCCTAACTCATTCCAAGAGACCAAATACCAGACCCAGACAAAGATATTCTAAGTAATGAACCAATATTTCTCATGCACATATATGTACAATTACTCAACAAAATATTAGCAGATTGAGTCCCACAACATATAAAAGGAATTATCTGCCATGACAAAGTGGGATCTATCCCAGATACACAAATTTGGCTCAACACTTGAAAATCAATTAATGTAATATATCAACCACATAACACAGATAAGAAGAAAAACCACATGATCATATTAATAGATTAAAAAGTATCTGCAAAATTCAAGAGCCTCCCATGATAACAATCCTCAGTAAACAAGGAATAGAGAACTTCCTCAATTTGATAAATGATATCTACAAAAACCTATGGCTAACATTACACCTAATGATGAGAAACCAGAAGATTTCCTGCTAAGGTCAGGAAGGAGGCAAGGATATTTTTCCTACCGTGGCTTTTCAACAATGTGCTGGAAGTCCTAGCTAATGCAATAAGATAAGAAAAGGAAATAAAAGGCATACTGATTGGGTTACCCTATTCACAGAAAACATAATTGTCTATGTAGAAAATACAAAAGAATCAACAACCAAAATGCTCCTGGAACCAATAAGGAATTATGCCAAGATTAGTACACAAAAATCAACCACTTTCCTATATACCAGAAATAAACAAGTAGAATTTTAAATTAAAGATTCAATACCATTTATTTTAGCACTGCCCAAAATTAAATGCTTAGGTATAAATGCATCCAAATATGGCAGATGGTAGAACTAAAGGCCTCCCCAGGGCACTTGTCACGCTCCTGTTCATTATTATTTTTTCACAGCACTGATCTGCCTTGTTAATCCGCTTTGTTGCTTGTTGACTATCACCTCCTCTGGTCTCTGAACTCCATGAGGCAGGGATCAAACTGGCCTTGGTTACCACTGGATCCCATTACATAACTGAGCAAGGTTGGCATATGCTGAATAAAGCAAGGCAGGGAAGGATGAAGCTGGGAAGGGCCTTGGACTGGGCCTGGGGTCCATGGAGAACAGCGTCACAGTGGGGCCTGGGAGGCTGGTCTGGTTTGCCTTTGAGGGTGCACTGCTGGGAAGGGAGGAAAAAGAGGCCAGAAGAGCAGCAGGGGGTGTGGATGAGGGAGGCAGAGCCTGAGGCCAGTGGAGAGGAGAGGCTGGCTGACAAGCAAGGGGTTCTTTCCTAGGTCGGACCCAAGGAGTTAAAGGTTCAAGAGAAGCTGGCAGAGAGGGAGTGGATGCCAAACAGCACATCCTGCTCTTTCCCCAACTGACAGGTACCATGTCGGCTATAGTTTCAGGGCAGACCCTGCCCTCCTGTCCTCAGTGCCTCTGTGGGCCTCACAGAGCTTTGGTCTGTGTGACTAGCCAGGCTGGGCCAGCACTGACAATTCACTACTCTATGGGGGACAGAGGGCAGAGCAGAGGCAGTGCCAGGAGCCTAATAGGTCTTAGAAGACAGAACTCCATCTTGGGCACAGGCCAGGAAAGAGCAAACATAGAAAGAAAACCACCAAATGAAGTGAAGCAGACTTCAAAATAATATGAAAACACCTCCATAATGCTGTGTTAAAAAATAACTTATCAGAGGGAAGTTACTGTGTCCTTACTGCATTAGAAAATGATGACCCTGGTGCTCACTTCGGCAGCAGATATACTAAAATTACAATACAGAGGAGACTAGCGTGGCTCCTGTGCAAGGATGACATGGAAATTTGTGAAGCGTTCCATATTTAAAAAAAAAATGATGACCCCCATGTCCCATCCTAGATGTTAGAACAAACCCAGTTTTGCACATTTGGTTCTATTATGCTGTAGGTACAGCTGTCATTGCCCTCGTGAGATCATATATCCCTATCCCAGCCAGCAGCATGATCACAATTTACATGATTGCCCATGGAAGGTACTAGCTTTATACATAAATGTGCTTCTATAATTTTGGTAAGAAAAGAGGACACAGTCTTGTTTTTTGTTTTTTTGTTTTTTTTTTTGAGATAGAGTCTTACCCTGTCACCTGGAGTGCTATGGAGTTATATCTTACAGCAACCTCAAACTCCTGAGGCAAGCTAACCTCTTGCTTTAGTTTTTTTATTTTTTAGTAGAGATGGGGGTCTCACTCTTGCTCAGGCTGGTCTCCAACTCCTGAGCTCAAGTAATCTGCCTGCCTTGGCTTCCTAGAGTGTTAGATTATGGGCATGCGCCCCTGTGCCAAGGCCAGCGGCAGCTCTTAAAAACACACGTTTGTAGCATGTAAGATTAAGCATGATAGCCTCTCAACATTGTTCATTTGAAGTTTTAATTCACATCAAGTCTGAAATAATGTCATGAATTTCAACCCATATGATTCCTACAATTACTTATCTTTCTAAACATCATTGACCTCGAATTTGAGAATTTAGTCTAAACAAGTCTTTCTAGAATATAAGGTGTCACCACTGGGTATACAGAGCTGTGTTCCCACCTCAGTGGCTGCATCTGAACAGCGTGATCATCCCAGTGATCTTGAAATATTGAAATAGATTTTCCTTCCTTTTAAGGAAATAATCACTTTCTTACCTTGGACAAGTCTAACCATCTGTTTTTCGCTTTGGTAGCAAGATACTGATGGGCCTGTTCACAAGCCAGGTCTGAATCTGTGACCTTCTGTTTTGGTCTTAAGAGAAAAATAAATAAATAAATAAATAACTGTGTTTAAATTTAATGGGCTCATTAATCTCCCAAGGGGTTCCCCTAGCCCCTGTTTGTTTCAAAGATACCATTAAAGTCTGTTGTTCCACATCTGGTCTAACTTAATTCTTAAAATAGTCTTATTTCTCCTGATGTATGCTAGGAAAGTCTTCTTAAATTTTGTAAGTCCTTGTTTATTTTCAGATAAATGCTATTCAACTTTTTTTCCCCCAGCAAACAAACAAAAAAACAAAAACAGAGCTCATTTATTCTCAGAGCGGGGGAAAAACACAATATAACCTTAAGTGTCTTAGGAAGAAAACAACTACAAACTTTTATCTGAATTTGTGAGCTGGAGTACAGACAGAGAAAGGAAACGGCTGGGGGGCTGGGAGCTGGGAATGTGGCTTCCAGGCCTCTCGGTTGTAGCTCATTGTCCCCAGTCAGGCTTACAGGGTTTAAAGGTGATCAAAATTCTGTCATCTTCACTGACAGGATGGACAGTGACGACACTGACAAAAAGCCCCTGTGCTGGTGGCTCTGGCTGGGCCACAGGACAGTGCAGAGAAGATGGGGCAGAAGGAATGGGAGGCCCTGGGTCTTCCCACACCCAAGACCAGATCAGAGGAGCACGGACATCTGTAAGCTGGTCACAGACACCACTCAAGCTGGCCAGGGTGCACTCGTCAGGTGAGTCTCCTCCTCCACTGCCCTTGACCGCTTCCCTCTCTCCCACTGACTTCTAAGGGGTCATCCCTTCCATGTCCCACCTACAACTGTGGTGCTGCTGATCAGAATCTGTAGCCTCCTGTCCCACAGCCTCACCTGTTTTTCTGCTCCATCTCTCTCCAACTGCCTACCGGACTCCACAGAACCATGGAACTTCAAGGGTGGAGAGGCAGACACAGCCCAGCCAGCCCCACTCCCTGTCACAACCTCACCAATGGCTTTGGAAGGCTCCTAGGAACATGCTGCATTTTTACCACTTTTGATTAAAGAGATCGTAAACCCTAATGAGGTATATTTGCTTGTCCTCCTAGATCCCACCTATACCTCACCTGGACCTCCCCCAAAGTGCTCTCACAGAGCCCCTGATGACGGCAGAGTCACTGTCTGAACACATATCCAAATGGCCCCCGGCCCCAGCAAAGCGATTTCTAGGTCATAAAGCTTGATCATTTCCCTAGTCGCCTGTGCTCAAACCAGGTGACTAAGGAAGAGAGTTAGCTGATTTCCCAGGCATCTCCCCCTTTCTCATTCTACAGACTTATCCCTCCAGAGCTCAGGAGGTCTTCCTCTCTGGGGCAGACCCCTCCAGTCACCCCCTCTCCTGCTGGCTGGCTCAGTAGATCCCGACAACTGGTCGGATCTGGCCTTCCCATCAGCTAGTCTATCAGTCACAAAAACAAAGGAACAGCACCTCGCACTGCTCTGGTCCAGCAGACACTACGGCCAATAGCGTGGACAGAGCCCATGTCCTCACAGAGCCGACACTGTGATGGGGAACTCAGGACAAACACCCAGGAAAATAAGCCAATCAGACAACACCAGATATTGCACGTGACTAAGAATGAAGCGGGAAGGTCAGGAGCTGCTGCCCAGAGCAGTGTGAAGACACTGGGACACACGCCAGGCAGGGTACGGGTCCCAACATGTGCTTACGGTCCCAGCTTCTGCACACACGTGTCACCTTCTCTCCCTCTTATTGACAACCAAATATCCTGCACAGAATATGAAAAGGACTTCTCTGGGGACACTGAAGAGTAAGCTATAGGAGGCTGATGGGCAGCGAAACCAAAACCCCAAGATGCTCAGTTCTGAGTTTCATGGAGTGTTCCTTCCCTGTTCCCAGGCTGGACGTAGGGGGGCCCCAACTCTGGAACTAGGCAGCAGAGGTGCACAGAAAGAGCTTCAGCAGCAGCACACCCGTCTTCCTGACCAAAGGACCAGGAGCATGGGCCCCCGAGGCACAAGACCCCCCTTTTGCTTCCTTTCATGTTCCTTGACCAGTTATGGGGCTGCACTTTGCAGTGGTCCCAACAACAGCCATGGCCTCACAGGCACCTGAAACTCTGACATCTTCTCTGTGACTGAGGACACAGGAAGGGCCTGTGAGTGGAGGAAGGCGGGGACTCTGTGACATTCTTCTCTTGCCATGTTATCCTGGGGGTGGGCCCAGCTGTGAGATGTGCACAACAGGACAAATAGGCTAAAACTTAAGATTTTCCAGCCAGGAGCCCCCAAAAGTAATCCTTTAGGAACGGAAAGTATCAGGGGAGATCACAGAGAAGAGAGGCTGGAGGAAGGCATCCCTGCCTCTGTGTGGGAAGTTGCAAGGTCAGCCTTGCTGTGCGCTGGTGCAGACTAGCCCACAGTAGCGCAGCCCTGGCTCTGAGAACTTGACCACTGTGTAGTGGAGACTGGCCCCGGGTGGAGCAGACGTAGGCTTCCCTGAATAGTGCTGCAGTGACTTTGAAAACTAACAAAACTGACACTGAAACTATAGAAGGCAGGTCAGGACGTGTGTGACACTAAATGGGTTGGCTGCCTGCTAAACAAAAAACCAAACTAACACACTACAGAGGGTTTAACAGGAACAGAATGTCACAGTAAAATACCTGAGAAGCCCAGGACACGATCCAAATTATACAAAGGGACAGAAAAACAGGAAAATCTCAATAATCACCGAGGCAAAAGACAACAGACACCAACCCTAAGATTAGTCACGCTGAAATTACCACATTTTAAAGCAGTTACTGTATTCATGGGGTAAGGTGGGCATCCTCGAAATGAGTGGAAAGAAAGAAGAGCTGAGGAAAGAAGGAGGGGGAGGGGAGGGGAGGGGAGGAGAAGGGGATCAATTAAAAAATGTTCACCATCACTAATCACCAGGAAAATGTGAATCTAACCCACACTGAGACATTATTTCGCCCAGTTAGAACAGCATATGCTGGGCACGGATGCAGAGAAAGTGGAAACTCCTTCACTATGGAGGACTGTAAAGCAGCATTCCCCCCAGACGAAAACAGAACGAGCTCTTATGTGATCCAGCAACCCCACCGCTGGGTGTGTATCCGAAAAAAAGGAGATCAGAACGTCAACGAGACGTCTGCGCTCCATGTTTCCTGCAGCACCGTCCACGCTCACCAAAATACGGGCTGGAACAAGGGGTCCACCAATGGATGAACGGACAAAGAAATCCAGTCTGTATGTGCAGTGGAGCATTGTTCAGCCATGAAAAGAGTGAACTCTGATCATTTGAAGCAACACGAATGGAACTAGAGTAGGGACCCAGCTGATCCAGTGTGACCTCAGCTTACCCTGGTTACCTCCGAAAAGACTGTTTCCATGAGAGGTTACAGTCATAGGAACTGGGATTACACTTCCAGTAAATCCTTTAGGGGACATAATTCAACCACAAAAATATGTGAATCCTTAAAATAGTGCCTAGCACATGAGGACAGGGACCTTGTTGCTTTGTTCACTCTCGTATCCCACTGTCACACAGGTGCACAAAGAATACAAATGCATTTTCCAAATCGATTATGCCCCAAATGGTGAAGGGAGGAAAGCTAGGACAGGAAGATTGTTTCCCAACTAGTAGATGGGCCGGAAGATGAAAGCACAGTGGTTATAGTGACACGGATCCTACGAGCCAACGCTCTCGGTGAGTCAATGAGGCATGTCTAAGGATAAAAAGGAAATTTGGTATTTTCATTCAATTAATCATTCAAAAGGAAGGATTTGATCATGCAATATTTTGTGACAATCTAATTTGCTAAAAGGACACAGGAGAGCATCCTCTTCATCTTTAATGATGTTCGTGCACCTAAATGTACTCAGTGTGGCTTTCAGTAGATAAAGGGTCAAGGCAGGTGTGTTTTAAACAAGGGACTGGAAGGGAATCAAGAAGATATAGAAAAGAAGTCATTGGACCATCATTCTGCTTGTTCTCTAGGACTCTGGAAGGGAAAACGTTTTGCAGTTACGAAGCAAATAGGATAGTGTCTTCTTTCTAACCAAGTCATGAACTCTCAGAGTTTTCTAAAGTATTGTGTTTTGAAAACACACGTGGAAAGTAAGGCCCAGAGGGTAGAGGGGTTCAACCAAGGGCAAGAAGGCTTCTGGAGAGGGAGGCCTCCAGGTCCCCCGGGTAGTGAGGTGGGCAGAGGCCAGTGCTCCAGGCCCCTCCCAACAGGCTCCAGGGGCTCAAATCCCCACCTCACCCCCACCACCTGTGTCCTGTGACATGTCACCAACTCTTCTCTGAGCCCTCATTCTTTTATCTGTGAAGCCAGGTAGGAAAGCCACCTTGCAGGAAGCACAGCACGGTCCAGGCCACCGAGGGCTCAGCTTTCAGAAGAAGTGTCTTGGAGTGGGGCTCAGGCCCCGGGAGGCCACGCCAGATCCCAGGGTGCAGCCTCTCCTCCTTTGTATCTACCCTCCCCTGCTGCGGCTACTGGACAAGGATTACAACTCAGTCCAGCATGGGGGCTCCTGCTCAGCCTGCCCTCCTGGCTTCCTCCTCTGCCTCATCCCCCACCAGGCAGGCTGCCCCCACGCTCAGCCTCTCCGCATTTTCCAAAGTGCTCTCTATGATTTTGCATGTGCTCTTCACTGGCCTTGAAGGGGCTTTCCTCTAGTCTGCACCTGGCAAACTCCTACTCAAACTTCAAGATCCAGCTCAATGTCCCCACTTTGCCTGAGCACATCAAGAGCCTTCGGCTCTGCCCTCCCTGTGCTCTTGTGGCACTTCTACCCTCCTCTGTGTCAACGTAGCTCTTTATTGTTGCTCCTGCCTCAATCCAACCATGAGTTCCCCAAAGCGAGCGCCTGAGTCTTATCCATCTTTGCCCCACCTAGCCTGGAAGGCACCCAGCACATAGTAGGCCCTCCGTGAGCACATGCTGAATAAACAAATGAATACAAATAATAAGGGTGAGTCATTTGAATGAGAGGATTGCACTCTGTGGCTGAGATTTTTCATGTTCACTCTGCATACAATCCCCAGAAGCTTCTTCGGGCAGCTTTTTGTCTTGCTTTAATGTCAGGCAGTCAAGTCTCATACAGAAGCGTCTCAGAACCTGAGCAATTGGAAGCAGGTGTCCGACATATGATCATTTTGCTTAGGAAAAAATTTAGCCATTTGCTTACGTGCTTGCTTTTTTCCAGATAGACAAAATAAAATCTATGAATACAGGAAAAAAAATCACAGTGCAACTTCAGAGGGCCTTCTGTGGCCCAGCCAGGGGCCACAACTGTCTGGCACAGTGGCCATGGATTCTGGGGACTTTTGCTATGCAGGGAGCTGCCCAGGCCCAGGTAGAAAGGACAGTTGTTTGGAGCCCCTGGGGGCCATGTGTGCCTCAAGGACAAAACAGCGCAGTGGATGTCTATACTGTCTTATCAGAAAACACACCTCTGGCTTAGCATAACAGAGGATAACATTTCAGGAATACTAACATTACTTCATTCAGGGAAGTCAGCACTCCACAGATTTCAGCAGGGAGCCAAGTGGGACAGATCAGAGTGACTCCTTTTATTAGAAGGATTTATTTGTTCTGTAAAATTTGGATTCAGTCAAAAGGCCATACTCAAGGATCCAGAAGGCTGCATGTAGCCCCAAGGCCACAGTTTCCCCACCCATGGACGGTGGTCCCCATTATGCCTACAAGGAGTGTCTCCCCTTGGCAAGGGCTTACCTGGGTGGAATTCACACACAGCCCTCTGCCTGGACCTGCAGCGGGCTCAGCACAGGGCTGACCCTGGGCAGAGTACAGAGTGTGCACAAAGGTCTCCCAAGTTCTGCTTTTAAAAGCTGAGCACAAAGGACATATATTTGACTCCAGATTAATACATAGGAAAAGTAAGAACCTGTATATATTTATGTGCATAGAGAAAAGACTGGAACCCAGGAAAACATGAAAATAATGGCCCCAGGTGGTGAGACCAGGGCAATATTTTCTGATTGTTCTACGTCCAATGCATGTCCTTTGTACAACTTTTCTTAAAGAAAAGGAAAATATAATCCCTCTGTCCTTTGTAACCCTTTGTGGACTTTGTGGTGGCAAAGGCCAACGTACAAGGAAGACACCAGCTGCCTCTCACCTGATGATCCTCTGAGGCCTCTCGTCGCCTCTGAACGGTCTCTTTTCACACAGATTTCGAAATTCCCGAAAATTTAAAGTGACGCTAAGTCTCAAGCCAAGAAGGGCCAGGAAGCGCTCGAACTCTTCATCCTTGAGGTTCAGCAGCATCTGCAGCAGCAACCTGTGCAGATCCCGCATGCTGATGATGCCGTCCATGTCAGTGTCCATCTTAAAGAAGGCGGAGTAGGAGTCCTGAAAGCAAGACGCAGGTCAAGGGACCACCCTGGCGACCCCGGCTGTCCTGGGGCCGCCACGCTCGATGGTTGTCATCGGTAACATTAATTTTAGAATGAGAGCTTGGTAGCCAGACGGAATCTCCAGTTGGTGATCAGGATGGGGAAGATGCTTCAGTGCACAGGAGAATTTGGGGTGCAGCTCCCCATGGGCCCCAGGCCCCAGCCCCCGCCCATGGCCCCTTCTCTCCAGGCCTTTGCTGCTCCTCACTCGGCCTCCTGCCGCGCTCGCTCCACCCGCTGGGTGTTCACTCGTTCTGATTCCCGGGTGCCCGCAGCCCTACTTTACACCTTTCCTTTTCACTTTAATCACCCTTGGTTACTTCTTGGCACAAAAGGACTCTAGGTCTTTCTGCTGCTGCCTATATCTGAGTGGCTGCTGCCACTTCTGCGTCACCTGCTACAACCGTGCGCAGCCCTGCACTTTCCCCTGGATCTGTGCCCAGTGCCCTATCCCGACACTGGACTCTAGCTGCATCGGCTGTGGCTTGTCGCCCCCTTTTTTGGCCAGCTCATGCTTGGTTGGGGCTTATAATCCAGGGAAGGGCCCCCTCCTCTAGGAAGTCCTCCGTAAAGGGGTCTTCTCCCCGTGCCCCCATAGCAGGCCTCAGTTCCTTCTACAACAGCCATGAACTGTCCTTTTAGTTTCTGGGTCTGGGATTAGACTGAGCTCACTTGGGCAGGGCTGGTATCTTTCATCCCTGGCATTCAGCACAGACACCTAAGGGCACGTAAGCTTGTGGCACTGTGTGGTGGTGTGTGTGTGCCGTGGGCTGCAGGCGTGGATCCTAAAACCACGGTGCCTCGGGAGTCGTAATCCTCCCCACCTTGTGAGGAGGGACTCCTTACTCCTCCTCCCAGCAAGTGTTCTCAGGGAGGGGAGGGGTCTTGAAATTAAGAAGCCCCCCCACCCCACACACACATGTAGTCCCTCTCTCTGACTTGTGCTGAGTCTTCAGAGGGAGACGCTTGGTGTCCCATGGGGACTAGGGAGTGACTAGGCACCGGGACTCCCACCCTGGGTGGGCTACATGGCTGGGCACAGGGTGGAGCTGGTCACAACCTACCCGGAACTCCTCCTTCAGTCTCTTGGGGAAAAGTTTCAGGCACTCTTCAGCAGTTATGAAGTGGCTGTTCTGGCGGCTTTTTGAATAAACTGGAGTCTGAGGTGGAGATGCTTCTGGCCCACTCCTCGGAATGTCTAAAACGTGATGTAAATCAGAAGTCTCCTGTTAGCGCCAGACTCAACATAGCACCTCCTCCTGCCCCTGAGCTGTGGGACCCTGTGATGTCCACTGCCCTGAGAGTTGGACACAGTGCCCACTTTGCTAGGACCTGGGTCCTTTCCTAGGACTCAACCTTCAATTTCTGGGACATGTCCCCCTGTCCTCTAGACGGAGGGTCAGCCTTCCACGACAGCATCACCCTGGGCACCCTGGGCGTCCCCTGTCCTGAGTCCCCATCATTCCTGTTGTTTATCTCCCAACTCCCGGAGGCAGAGGATGAGAATTCTTGCCTATTTTTTGTTTCCTGGAATCATCATCTAAGGGCAAAAATGTGTAATTCATTCAATAATCATTACTTCAACAGGGATACCTGTTAGAGAACATGGCAGGGGCCTTCCGCATTCCTCAGTAAACATATCGTCACATTCGTTACACAGGGGGAGATGGGCATGGAGGGTCCCCCAGGGGCACAGCTGATCGGCCACCATGCCCGCGCCCTCCCCTAAACTGGGGAGGAAGGAAGGGCAGCCTCTATTTAAAAACCAATCCATTTTCATCAGGTGGGGATCATCTGAGTGTGGCCTTGTGTCAAAGTCAGGCCACATGAGACTTGGTTCCAGAGCAGCTCTGCACACAGCACAGCCTTGCCCTCCCCATGTCTCCAGGAGACAGATACTGCAGGGCACCCGGGGCCATGGTCACCTTCTGGCCCCTTCTGGTGCCTGTCTTTTTTTTTTTTTTTTTAATTTTATTAAGTCAAATACTATCCTCACTCCACCTCACAGAGGAGATTGTGGCAGCTCCCCCAGGCTCATCATGCCTAGCAGATGACACCTACCCCACTGCTAGACCCCTCTGTCCTATCCCTACTGACCTCTGGCCTGGAGCCACCACAGTCTCCCATGGCCTCCTTGGGGGCCTGATGGAGATGGGCAGGCTGCTCAGAGTGGGAGGGAGGAGGCAGGAGGAAGAGGGAGCGTCAGCTGGGTAGTCAGCAGGAGGTGGGTAGGGAATCAAGGTCCCGCTGCGACCTTCGCCAGCCTGTGACCCTGGGTGTGCACAGCAGGCACACGGGAAACACACACTCAAATGCGCGTGGGCTCCTTTTCCTTCCCTTTATTTTACTTCAAAAATTCAAAACACAAACCCAGAGAAAGTGTCAAGATTCTAAAATCCTGTGGCTTCTCTCTTTGCCCTTTCTCAGGTGCATGAGGCCTCTCTTTCCAGAGCTGGCAAAGGAAAGTCTGGCTGGGGGGGTGGGGGGTGGCCCTTGGAGACCAGCTGGCCAGGTTTTCCAAGGAAACGTGCTGCTTAGCTTGGTCATTGCCAGACCCAAGGCTGGGAGAATGGCAAAGCACAGCCTCCCTCCCCACCAGCCCACAGGGATGTGCAGCGAGAGAGAAGGGAATTCTACTGACGTATCTGTGTGATTTCTGCAGCTTTTCCATTGGGCTTGTTTCTCCATCTGAATGTTCTTAAGTGTGAAAAAGCACAGGGAGTAGTCCTGCAGCACAGACATGGGTCTCCTAACAACCACTGGGGGCCCGGGGTGCTTGATTCTGTGTCCTTATCTGCCAACAGGGAGAAGGACCACCCTCCCTGCCTGTGCTGGTATTATGAATCACAGCCAGCCAGCACCTGTGTCAGGAGGACTGTCTTAACAGATATAAGCTGTAAGTGAGGAAACAGGCTTTGGAGTTAAGTTCATGAACCATCTGTGCTGGGAGTTTGTGGAAAACTCTTTGGGGCAAAGTTCGGCACTCACAGTTCTGTTTCCCTCAGTGAAAAGAAAACGCCAAAACATAGTCCTATAAAGTTAAACCAAAATGTCTGATTTTAGTCCCAGAAGACACGTGTCTGAGTAGCACATCTCAGTTAGTGCTACTTCACCCTGGTGGCCTGGCGGCACCACCCCCCAAGACTTATGCTACTGTGCTGGGCATGTACCTGGCCATTAGCTACCTTCAAAACCTGTCGCAAAATCAAGATAACTCATCCCTTCCTCCTTATAGCCTATTTTTCTGGTCAGCAGAGCATACTGGTCATCATCCATGGGCATTCCAGTGTCTTCCAGTACCTGGCGGAGAAGAGAGGCGGTTATAGAAAGGCATTAGCTTGTCCCGGTCCTGCCAGGCCAAGCTCCTCCCACCCTGCTCCCATTCCCACCACGGTCCGAGGCTCCAGCCAGGGATTGCCCCTCCTCTGCCCCCACCCGCTAGCTGCTGGAGGGCAGGGCCGGGTGTGCTGTGCCCTGGGCCAGTGACAGGACTGTGTTTGGTAAGCAAACGAAGGACCAGCACGCAGGTCAGACGATGCTCAGCTGGCAGGCACATCACAAACCTCCTCAAGACCTCGGATTCAACATGTCACTGCAGCGGCTTTCAGTGGCATAAGTTACATTCTCATATATTCAAGGAAATGCAAGCAAAGCAGTGTGGGAGGGGAAACTAAGTTTTCACTAAAGTTTCATTACGACCCATGGCTTAAATGGAAGGCCTCTGTGCCTCTTTAGGGGCAGATATCCACGGACATCCTGTGTCCTCTCCTTTGCTCATCCACTCACTGAACCTTATTCCTGATCCCTTCTCTCCAACATGGACCTGCCACCTCCATTGTGTGTGTTGCGGGGAGAGGGGGCACCAGAGAGAACGCAGGTCCCTGCACTGTAGATATGGAGGTAGAATCCTCTGGGTGACGCCTTCTCAGGACAGAGTGATGAGACTGATCCTTGTACTGTTCACGGAGCAGACAATGCCCTTCAGCCAACAACCCGGGCTGAGCTACCTACCTAGAGCGGAGCCACCCAGCAGGTGGGCTCTTCTCAAAGTAGTCACAATTTAAATGAGAAAACAGGGCTTTGGAAAAGGCCACATCAGAATTCAAAATGTGTCTGTGCATGTAGGGACCAAAGACGTCTATTGATAGGATGACTGAGTCCAGCCAGGACAGAGGATGGAAGGTTTCTGGGAGCTGTGTTTGCACTGGGGAGTGGAGAGGGTGGTGGCTGAGGAATATGTGGCTCGGCGTTTATATGTGTCAGGCAGCTGTGGCCACAGGAAGGCAGAGGAAGCCACAGAGAGGACAGAGAGCAGGACAGACCTGTGCCCGCTGCACAGTGAAGACTCGGCCCCAGGGAGGGAGCCAGAGGCCAGGCCAAGACAGCCTAATGCTGTCATTGTCACCACCGTCATTATTCAGTAACACTTCTTGCCTGTTATGTGCCAGGCCCTGTGCTGTCTTCCTTACAGGCGCTACCCACATCATTTAAGCCTTATCAGAGCCTTGAGAAGGGCTCTCTCACTAACACCAGGCTTAGGGGTTTAGGGCACTTGTCCCATTCACAGGCCTAGGAAGCGACAGACTTGGGGTTCAAACCCAGTTCTTATTAGTAACCACTATGATGGCTCTGCGGTCAGCATAAGGTCATCAGGACAAAGATCAGGGCAGGGGAAATGGAGAGGGAACGGTGCAGTCAGAGCAGCAGGGACGCCGTGCAGCCCAGGGAGACCTGCTGGAGTGGGCAGGAGAGGAAGGATGGGGGTCCTGAAGAGCTGCCATGAGGCCGGGAGACAGGGAGGCTGTCGGGACAGCTCCTCCTGGCCTCTGGTTCTGACAAGGTATGGAGCTTTCGCCCCTAGCCCCCTCACATTAGAGCTGTGGGAGATGAGACCCCTTAGCTGCAGTCTGGATTTGGCTCTCGAGGAACAGAGCATTTTCCACAGTTTGTGGTGCAGTCATCAGCATTCTTTTGTCCGACTGTCGCCCTTTTTGGTGTATGGGAAGAGGAACAGGGAGCTGGCATTTGTCTGTGACAGTAGCCATTGTACCTGCTGCTCCTCTCAGGGCCTGGCCTCAGTGTGGCTACGCACCTTGGTGCCCCATGATGGGGCAGGATGCAGGTGCCGTGTGCCCGGTGGGTGGAGCGGGAGGGGGCTGTGCTGGATGCTGGGGCTCTCCCAAGGGCCTGCCCGGGGACTGGAGCAGGAAGCACGCGACTGGGGACTGGGGCAGCTCTGCGCCATCTGCATGGGAGCCAGCTCGACTCTGCGGAGGAACCAGTGCCCGTGTGCGGTGGTGCAAGTGTTCAGATAGAAAGAAGCACCTGTGGCCACTGTGGGGCTCTGATTGGGGGTTTGCTTTGAAAAGTAACTTTGTATTTTTAAATAATTACCCATGAATTATTCATGGCAAATTCCTCCTGCTCAGTCCTTTCATAAAAACATATGTAGTGGATAATAAGAAAATGTCTGTAGGCAAATGCCGTCCAGCCCAGAGGGGCCTGAAGCACCAGGGAGAGCCGCTGGGCCATGAGCAGCCAGTCCACAGTTGCAGGTGTGCAGTCCCCACGGGGCACGGAGCAACAAAGGACACAAAACACAGCGAGGCCAACTCTCAGAAGAGGCGCCAAGCGCTCTGTGAACACCGATGTCTCCCATGCCTCGCCCGGGCCACCCCCATGCCACTCTCATTTCTAAGTGGAACACAGCAGCAAACCAGCCGGATTCATCAGCACTGAGGAGGCAATTTACAACACAAGGAGGGCTAGCCTGCAATAGTTACAAGACGGACTTAGCATTTACCCGTTCAGTATCTGCCTTTGGTCTCTTCCAGGAGGGGTTTCCCTAAGAAAGTTGCTCAGAGTGACAAACTATCTAGTCTAGCACATTCTGAGTCACTGGATAGTCACATCTGCCATCCCTGGGATGACACTTAGATTGTAGACTCATTCCTCCTCAGATTGATCCCCCCATACTCCACGGGGTCGTTGCTGGGCTCTCCCTGCAGGAAGGTGCCCGCGTGGGTGTCCAACCATGGAAGTGAGACCCAGGCACTTCTAAGCCCGGCTACCACAGAGCATCCTGTGGGAACCACCTGCCAGTTCCTACGTGTCACACGTCTGCTGTGTCTCTGTGGAAACTGCTTGCTGGTTACGTCAGGGAGCCCAGTATGCACCCTTAACTCCTCACAGGCCATTTAGAGTTAATATTGGGCCGCGTCACACAAACGTACTTCCTGCGCCCTGTCCTCTATGTTCTAGTTGTAGTTTTTCTTGTATTTACATATATCATAAACCCCACAAGACAATGCTATCATTTTTGCTTTGAATACTCCTGTGCATTTTTTTTTTTTGAGACAGAGCCTCAAGCTGTCCCCCTGGGTAGAGTGCCGTGACATCTCAGCTCACAGCAACCTCCAACTCCTGGGCTCAAGTGAGTCTTCTGCCTCTGCCTCCCAAGGAGCTGGGACCACAGGTGCCCGCCACAACGCCCGGCTATTTTTTTTTTTTGGTTGCAGCCATCATTGTTGTTTTGGTGGGCCTGGGCTGGATTCGAACCCACCACCTTAGGTGTATGTGGCTGGCACCTTAGCCGCTTGAGCCACAGGCGCCGAGCCAGTGTGCATTTTTTAAATTAAGAAAAATATAGCCTTTTGGATTCAATTGGGTAGATATCAATTGTGATGTTTTCTATTCTTCCATTGACATCTAAGTCTTCCTAGCATCAGACTCCTTCAGCTGGCACAGACTGTCCCTCGTCCAGAGCCCAGCACATGCAGGCACCCAGAACACTGCTGCTGGATGGAGAAATTACCAGCACTCCTTCTCCACCTCCATACCCGAGAGCACGCGGCAGATGGAAAGTCGATGAGGGAGGCCAACGTGGGAACACAGGCGCCAGACACTCATGAACTCACACTGTCTTGTCTGGACAGACCGTGAGTCTGATGAAGAGTCCACGTCTACGCACATGTGAGTTCAAAGTGGTCCCTCAGCCCTGGCAGGAAAGGAGTAGAATACCAAGATACCGTGAGGCAGGCCACAAAGGCCCTTTCCTTATGACCCCGCAGGAAAGGGAGGACGGGACTGTGCAGCTCTGCCGGCTTCTCCACCCAAAGGGCAGAGACTCACACGAGATGCTGCACTGTGCTCGTCCCGAAGCAGCCACGGGACTTTACCCTTCTTCCCTGACTACTGTGTCTAGTGAAGTTCTCTTTGGAAAATGTTAGTTATGAGGTGCCAAGGAAAAGATTCGTGTTTATACTTCAGGCAGAGATTTAAAGGACATCCCCCCATGGAGTTCTGGGGTACAATGTCTAGAGACAGTTTTTCCAGTCATGGAAAACATTCCCCACATGGAGATCATGTGGCCTACGTTCTTTGTGGCAAAACAAAAGAGAATTACAGGTTTCATTTTTAACAGGTAATAGTACTTTCATGTTCACAGACAAAATGAAACAGGCACCAAAAAACCCCCCAAAAAACCCTGTCTTCTCTAGAATTTTCAGAAGACTCCCTACCTTCTAACGAACTCTCCCACCCAATGAGATCTCCTCTTCCACCTCTCCCCCCTGCAGACCAAGAAACTGTGTCATCCCAGATGCAAACAAGAGCTGAGAGTTCCAGTCATCAGATCACCGGTTCACTTGCAGGTCAGGTACCAGGGACAAGAGCACCCTGGCTGGAAAAGGATGTGGCACTTTCAAAATAGATCTAATTGGTGCTTGAATAGAAAATTCAAATACTTCTGGCAAATGGTTCTGAGAATCTTCAGACACACTTGACTGCCTGCCCGAGTGGCCCCCTGCAAGACAGAATCTGCAAAGCCAAACAGCCCCAGGCAGAGGCGCGTGATGTGGCCTCACACAGGCTCGGTGTGCTGGTGTGCTGTCACCAGGCGAGGTGCAGATAAAGGAATGGGGCTGGTTTCCTCTCTGTTTCTTAACTGACAGGAGCACTGTGAAGAACAAAGCGGATGTTCAAAGGGCATAGAACATCCTGCATGAAAAGCCCCTTGTGGGAGGACAGTGCTGGCAGCAGGTTGGTTGTAAGGACAGCATGGCCCACACAGCCCTCCCTGCACGGCGTCTGAGCTGTAAAGGCTCCCGCTTGACTCCAGGGAGGACTAGCAGCTCCCCAAGAGTCACCAGGAAAGAGCATTTGACCGAGGATCGACTGGGGCCTGCACAGAACTAGCACTTTCAAATAGCATCTTATTTAAACCTCATAACAACGCCCCAACAAATGAACCACCAACCCCGTTTCAAAAGGTTAAGAAGGCTAAGTAATCCACCTGTTTT